AGAAAAAAATAGTAAGACAAGGCGACCAGTCCAGCTAGGAAGTGCAAGAAAGCGGTAGGGAGACCAAGAAGCAGAGAAATTCGAAGCTTACCTTTCGCACCCCGCACGCCGAAGATCCTGGAGAAACCCAGAGCCGAAGAACGACGAATAGGGATTTGGACAGCGTCAAAGCAAAGCAATTTGAGAAAGTAGTAAGATTCCAGACCAATAGGGGAAATAAATGTCAATTAGGGCTCAAAAGTGGGACGCGCGAGTTTCCTAATATGGGCCTGGGCCTGGGCCTGGGCCTCTAATGGAGAAAATACGATAATTATGACAATTATTATATTTTATTTTTTCCATAATGAGATAATAAATAAACTCATAGCTCACTTGATCGTTCTTCATCATTCTCGTTGCTTGAAAATGAGATTTACAATGTGAATAGTAAGGAGAACACGGGCACGTAAGTGACAAAGTTGGATGGATTCCGAGGTCAAGCCTCATCGTTCTATAATATGAATCCTTAACTAGGGATAGCAAAAGACATAACTAGATTACATGAATTTGAGTATATTCAGATATTAGGACAAACTCATAGAAGAAAGATCATATAATAGAAATAATTGGGGATAAACTCAATGGAGCTAGAAAGCATAAACCAGTTATAGAGTAGGACGTGTAACACCAATAATCAAAATAAGCTCAGAGGAGTTAGTTATTATGGATAATCAATCATTGAGTAGGTCACGAGACATCTGGTTGAGATACGAACTCAAATGAGCTAGACGATATAATATCAATTGTTAGAATAGACATATGACGTCAATGGTTGAGATAATCTCGAATGAGCTAGAAGATGTGAATCCAACCATTGGGTTGCATATAGTCTTATTTATAGTATTCTTATAATAGATAAATCTATGATTACCGGGAGAGATAAACCTATATTATGAATGAGATTGATGTTTTTTAATTATAATTTCAAATGGTAACTTATCAGTTTTTTTTTTTAATTATTTATTAGATATTTGTTGTTATCCTACATGAATATCTCCATTTAAATGGGCCGGACCTATTTTAAGTTGGGCCGAGCGCAATTTTTTAGTTGAGTCAGCTGAGCCCAACAGTGACTGAAATCCCACTCTACTCCACCACCTCCTTCATCTGCCATGCTCTCATTTGCCTCTCTTCCTCTGTCTCCCTCAGATACCAGAGAGAGCAAAATCAGCCATGGCGAAGCTAACCTCCTTCTGGATCCCCTTCTTCCTTTTCCCTCTCCTATTTCTCTCTCTTTCTCACACTTATGTTCTTGCTGATTCCCACTTCGAAGGATTCGGACCAGAGGTCGACGACCTTGAAGATGACGACCTTTCTCTCCCCCTCCGTCCCCCTCCTCTCACCAAGTCGGAACCCGAATCCGTCGTATTTTCTTCGCCGGATCGCGACTCTGATGTATCGGATCCGGTAGTCGAGCCATCGAATCCTCAATCTCCACCGTCTGTCTCCGATTCTCCGAAGCCTTCTCCGACCAGTTTTACTTACTGGGACGAGGACGAATTCGAAGGTTTGCCGATAGAACAACCACAAGAACCGGTACAACAGAGCTCCAAATTTGCGGAGGACTCAGCCTCCTCCAATTCGAACGCTGATCCAAAACCTGCCTCTTCGATTCCCAAAACTGCGAATGCACCGAAGTCATATGCTGTTGAAATTGCGTGCGGGTCTTTCTTGGTTATTTTTTTGATCAACTATTTTACAGGGAAGCGCGAGAACGAGAACATTGCGCTGTCGTGGGCTGCGAAATTCGCGACCAAGGACTCCATTTTTGAGAGGAACTTCAGTCTGTTGGGTGTAGGGGAAGGTGAGGATTCGCCTTTGCTGTTGAAAGAGGGACAGAATGTCTTCAAATTCTATGCTAGCGGGCGGAGGTGTTGCCAAGGGTTGTTGGCAACAATGGAGTTGAAGAGCCGACACGATTTGATCTCGAGGATGTATAATATGGTGGTGCCGTGTAAGGATGAAATTAGCTTCGAGGTCTACATGAATGATGACGCGATGGATCATATTATCTTTGCTGTGGCGAGAAAGAAAGCTGCCAAAGGAATGCAAAAGGATTTGAAGGATCTGCAAAGGTTTGCTGGGATTTTGACGACTCCCAGTGGTAGAAAATGGGTCCCTGAAGAGTTGAGCGTAATTACAGAATCGAAGGAGGTTGCATCTGATTTGATCACAGAGGCTGTTCTTGACCAGGTTGGTAACTTTTCTCTGTTTCAGATGACTTCCATTGTGTTGTTTTGTTCTGATTAGTAAATATTTTGCTGAATGCTTATTGCTAAACCACCTGATGTCTGAGTTCTCAATTTTAAAGGTCCTGACTTGATGTTTCGGCTGCTTTTTGCTTGAGTTGTTTATTTTCCTGTCCTTATACTTCATGATAGCGACCCCACGTTTAAATGTAACCATTTTGTCTATTTTCACGATACTCTTTGCTCGTGTTTTCTACATTGTACATTTCCTTATGGTATTAAGCAACTGTATGTTTGATTGTTCTACTTTGGAGGTGGAGTGAAGTCTTCGAGTTTCCTGTTCTATGTGGACAAGATTTACTCTGATGGTACTACTAATAAGATCTTGGATCTTCTAAGTCTGACCAAAGTTCTTTCCCAATGTCTCTCGCTTTCATGGATCCCAACTCAGAGAGTGAAATTTATTTGTTACACTGTCTGGACCAAAGGGATAACATGATCTGTTGACTAAAAGCATGGAACACGTTTTATTGCTAGATCAGAGAAGAGTGGAGATATATGAATGAGTTTACTAGCATCGATGAATATTATTACAACCACTTCTGTCACTACCCTTTCAACGCCCATGAGTTTTCTATTATTAGCTCGAATTGATTGATCATTGGGTTTGGACTGATTATATAGGCATTTTTTTCTTCATTTTTTATTTTTATTTTTTATCCCTAAGAAAGTTCTAGCAGTGCTTACAACTTAGTCGTGCATGCTTTGTAGGAATTATTATGAGGATTAGAACTGTATTGGTTTTGTCAATGCCCTTTCACGACTTTAATTGGGCATTCTTTTGGTGTTAGTTTGGCGCTGAGTCAAGAGATTGGGAATGTCTTTTTGAGATTTTTCAATGAGTGGGAGGCCTTTTGTGCAAGCCATCTTTGTTGCAGTGCTTAGGTTCCGTCGGTTTAAGGGGAATCTCGAGGTTTTGTAGGATAAGGCTGTGTCTTGGGGAGGAGGTTTGAAGTACTGCACACTATACTGCTTTCCTATGGGTGTTGAGAAGTCTCCATTGTGCTCCTTCCATCTTGTGCTTTTTGTTTACCCTTGCCCTTCCTTTTATGTGGCTTTGGGGTTTCAGTATAAAGTCCGCTCTAATTTATGCTGTTAGCAACAGTGAAAACAAGGGGTTAACAGGCGAGTTGCTTGTGGGATAGTGAGACTTTCTATTGGAACATCACAGCTAAAAGAATTATGTTTGAGGTAGAGTGAGACTGTAGAGCCCTAATATAAGTTCTGAGGGGCTCAAGTCAGTCGATGTGAAGACAGAAAGGTATGAAATAATTAGAACTCACGGAAAATGGTTCATGCAATGCTCTGCACAATGTGTAGTGTCTTATGTCTGGTCATGGATTTTCTGTATTTTGCTCTTTTTCTAGTGATGCGTATTCCATGTGGAAGCAAGGAATTTTTGGGGTAGGGAAAATATAAAGAAAATGGAATTCCTTACGCGTAATTTCTTCTATATTTGTTGAGTAGCTTCATTCATTCCATCACATCTTTGCTGCTATGCAACTTGCCGTCCTTGCGCACAGCATTTCCTTGTTGGACGCCTTCATGCTCGATTAACATGATCTAATCAAAACTTCCAGTAAATTTCTTTATTCCTTTCCGCAAACGTGCAATTTGAAGTTCAGTTAATTTCTGCAGGTTTTTGGTGAAAAATCCTTTGAGAAATTTGGGAAGTACTTCATCTCAATGCACTTCTCGGATCAGCTTCCAGGCATGCACAAAAAGATGCTGTTATTTAAGTTTGCTCTCCCAGATGCAAACAATATGTCTGACATTTCTCATCTGGTAGCTCTTGTACCGTATTACATCGACGTCATTGGACGGTACAAGCTCAGTTCACAGGTAATATGTGCTGATACAATTTGACATGAGAAACTTGGAGATCTGTTCAGTTTTTTCTAAATTCTAATTGTTGCTCATCCAGGCCCGCTCAAAAACCGATGCTGCAAGGTCGAAGGCTGCTCAAGAGGCATACAGAGAGCTTCAAAATGCTAGGCAAGAAGCCCTGCAGAAGAGGAAGGCAGAGAAGAAGAAACTGATGGAAGAGGCTGAGGCCAAGTTAACTGCTGAGGCTCTTCGACGGAAAGAGGCGAAAGACCGTGCGAAACAGATGAAGAAAGCAATGCCAAAGATAAAGATGAGCCGCACACGTTAATGAGTTGATTTTTTCCAATGCATTATTCACGGGTCGAGAACTCAGACCCCTTCACCTGGTTTTCTAATGTTGTTTCAGAGCTGCTTAGCTGGGATTCCTGATTTCATTGAAATTTTGCTTATCAGGGTAGTGGACCATGTACCTTTAGATTGCACTACACTATCTCATCATGCCATAATAACAGGTCCATAGAAACTAGCTTTCCTTTTTTGCTAATTTAAACCTCTTTTCTTTTCTTTTTCTTTTCTTTTAGTTTCCAATTTGTGGTGGCCTTTCAGTCGTTGATGGGATCTGGCTGAATAGGAATTTTACTGAAATGTAATATTAGAACTTTACTCCCTGGTGAATTATAAGCCCCCTTTTTAGACGATCATATTGTTTGTATTTTTAAACTAGTTTAGGTAAAAATGTGTGACCTATCTCTCATCATTATAATGCTAACCAATTCTGTTGTGGCTTCCACCATTCTTTCTCCTTACTGATGTGGAATAACCAACTTAAACTATATGGTAACCTACAACTGCAACTCCGTAGTTATGGAGTTTCACCTGGGCCTCTGCAAGAAAATAATCTCTGATGCACTTAAAGAAAAAAACTTATAACAGAAGCCAGACCATGTTTGATCATTTAGGCTTTAACAGTATAGTTTTCATTCATGAAATGCATTATTTTGCAACTCAGTCACTCTGCATGGATGATCGTCTTCCTCAACCGATGGCTGAAAATACACATTGGATTCTTCCAGCTTTGCTTTAGCATTTCTCTTAGGTTCTTTGTTGGCAGATGGATTATTCTGTCTTTTATCTCTGGAAGAAGCTAATATGATGCGTGGTCTAGGTCTCCTTACAGCTTTGTTCATTAGGCGAATGTACTGATGCCTCATGCCCATCAAAAGGTGCTTTTCTACCAGAAAGTTCTTGTTATAAGCCTCTCTGAGAACCACAGTTTGTGTTCTGATCTTGTTTGAGACGTAAAATATACCTGGGTGATGAACTATGGCCTTCTTGAACCTAGAACCGAACCCCAAATACTCTCCCAAGCAGGAGATGTTCTCTTTTTCGGTTTTCTTTGAGACCATAAGGTAAAGCAACTCATGAAGAACTGCGGTGGTCCATTTCTCAGCCTGGTCGCTGTTTGGTGCTAGATGGAATGCATTTTCGTAGGGTGAAATGTAGGGCAGACGCTGCCACTCCTCCACCCAATTCAGCACCTTCTTCTCCAAATCAAAACCCCTAGGAAAACTCATTGGAAATGCAATGTGAATTCCATTCCTTCTCCAACCATTGCCTTCCAAGGAATGCCTCTTCTTCAGTTCAGAGACTGAAAGGTCTTCCCTCCAAGAAAGTAGTTCCAATGCAAGAGTTTGTTCACCTGTTGAACAATCTCTCACACTACAAACCTGAAAATATTCAGGATAATCAGCAAGAAGTGTTGGAATGAACTTGTAGGGTAGACCCAAATCCCATTGCAGCTTCTCAATGACATACAGGGGCAATTTTCCAGCCCCTGTGAGCATCAATAGTTTCGCTAACCTCTTCACGACGTCGTCTCTATGTGGTTGAGAGTTATGAATGGTTGATTCTTCCTTGTGGAGAGCTAGAGCTTGGGAGGTGAGCTTGACATGAGGATGGAGGCCAAGACTAGGCTGGAATTGGATGAAAACAGAGGGGTACAATTGCAAGAACTTAGAGATTGAAGTAGTGGGGACTTTGAGGTTCTGTCTCATCAAAGAGACAGAGGAAAGTGGGACAGATTTAAAAGGACTCGAAACTATTAGATTCTTGAGGGAGATTACTTGTCTGAGATTTTCCTCTCTTTGAACAACAAAATCAAGGTATGGATCTCTAACCCATTTCACCTTTGCATCAACAAAAGCACGAGTCTGGCACAAACGATGAGGGGCTCTTGTAACTCCGAGAATCATAAAGTGAGATTAATATTGTAATACCTGGCGGGTAATAATAATAATAAATAAAAATAAAAGTACGCTTCTCGCCGCCGACAAGTACAAACGAGTCAGGCGGCGAACGACAGCGGTTGAGCGCTCGGAGAGGGCAAGACGCTTGGTGTTGTAGAAGGAAGAGTGGCTAGAGCGAGACCAGAACCCACGTTGTCGGAGAAGAACACTCGTTCCTAACCTGTTAGCAGTGCATCGATTGAGCTTGGTGAGACCTAGGGAGTGGAGAAGAAGTTGCAAAGAAAGAAAACGAAAACGGAAGCGAAACCAAAAGGGAAGGCGACGGCGAGCACGCAGAGGTGAGCGAAAGCGGAAGGCAATCGGGGAAGGCGAGGGTTTCGCGCCCAGCGCGGGCCTACACCTCAGCTTGCGTTTCGAGCGGCCCAGCCTGCGGGCCTGCGCCCCGCCTAGCCCACCACGGGCGCCCGACCCGGGGCAGTAGCCAGCCCGGCCCGGCCCAGCTTTATTGGGCCGGTTTGGCCCCTTTTGAGTATTTCACCCGTTCTAACCCCGATTTTTGACACCGTTTTCGTGTATTCCTCGTTTTTCACGGATGTATGAATTATTTGAGAAGTTTGGAAAACTATGTAACCCTCTAGAAAAAGCGAATCCTAACCAAGGTGTCACAACTTTGGATTTATCTATGAAGCCCTCTAGATAAATAAGTGGCACCTCAGAACCTTGGATTTATCTATGGAACCCTCTAAACATGTAAGTGTCATCTCATAACCTTTAATTTATCTATGGAACCCCCCTAGACAGGTAAGTGGCACTTCATAACCTTGGATTTATCTATAGAACCCTATGGAACTCTCTAGATAGGTAAGTGGCACCTCAGAACCTTGAATTTATCTCTGGAACCCTCTAGAAAAGCGAATCCGAACTAGAGTGTCACACTTTCCAGGTAAGTGGCACCTCAAAACCTTGAATTTATCATACTCTTATAGTATATATGAAAGTATGATATGAAAAACATGTCTTAGGAAATCCGAACTAAAGTGTCACACTTTTCAGGTAAGTGGCACCTCAGAACCTTGGATTCATCTACTCTTATAATATATATAAAAGTATGATATGAGAAACATATCTTAAGAATTTGAGCGTGAATAAATTAGTTTGAGATATGTAAGAGCCCGTTAAACATGATATTTATTATTAAACATGATATTGATATTCCCTTTACCTATAAAACAACTCATTTTACACCCAATATTCTAAAGATTTTAAAAGAAACATGTAAAACTAAACCCTAAATTGACCTATATACTATTAAAACCCTAACAACCCCCAAAAAAAACCACAACTTTCTTTTCCTCTTAAACCCAATGGTCGGGTTTGAACTTTGACGAGTCTTCTTTTATCTTTTCGTTTTTTTTCAAATTTTGATAAGGAGAAGAACTCGAAGATTTGTTACATTCTGGAGATTGGTGAGGAAATTCAACCAGCATTTGAATCACTTCTCTCATAGTTGGTCTCTCCACGCTGTTCTCTTGCACGCACAACATTGCTACGAAGAATAAGTGTTTTGCTTCCTCTTTGGGCACTGTTCCTATCCTTTTGTCGACTACGTCAAGAATGTCATTTTCGCTCTCCCCGTTTTCTAGAGTTCTTTTGCACCATTGTACTATGTCAACTACTCCGTCTCCAAAATCGCCAACTGGGCGGTGTCCCGTCAAAAGCTCTAATAGCACTACTCCAAAACTGTACACATCACTTTTTTCATCCACTCTTAACGTGTATGCATATTCTACAATGATAAAGAAAAATATTAGTATATCGACAAGAAATGAAAGTAATTTTCAATCTATTTCTATTTTTAGATTTTAGTTAAAGATTTTCAAATAAGAATCTTTCCTTAAAAACAGAGAATAAGTATCAAAATCCTTAATTATTATTTTTTCTTTTTGGATCAACTAGTGAAACCAAACTTCCCCATCACTGTCAATCACTGCCCTTAGATTTTCTTGGCAGTGACAATCGGACGGCTGGCATTGACTAATTCATTTACCATGGCCCACCAAAAGAATTTTAGTGATTAACTAACTTAACTAACACTGTAACGTCCAAATCAGAAAATAAGAATTAAATCACAAAAAATAAAAATAAATAATTACAAAAACTGTAAGAGGCAAATGAAAAAAGAAAGAAGGAAAAACGTACCAGGAGCGATGTAGCCGTAAGATCCGGCGATAACCGACATGCATTCCGATGCACCGCCGTCGAACATGAACTTCGCCAGTCCGAAATCGGCGACGTGAGCTTCGAAGTTCGAATTCAAGAGAATGTTGTTCGATTTCACGTCTCGGTGGACGATTAGTGGAGAACAATCGTGGTGGAGATAGCAGAGACCTTGAGCGGCTTGAATGGCGATTTTGTACCTCAAATTCCATCCGAGGAATGAGGCTTTTTTTCCGTGGAGTGCTTCGCCTAAGCTTCCGTTCCTCATGTATTCGTATACGAGGAGATTTGTCTCTTTATTGGAGCAGAAAGCGAATAATCTGACGATGTTCCGGTGTCGAATGTTGCCTAGGGTTTGGATTTCGGCTCGGAATCCGTGGTCGTGACTGTTGGGGCCGAACCCTAGGAGTTTCTTCACTGCGATTTCAACTCCATTCGGCATTTTTCCGTGGTAGACGATGCCGGCGCCGCCTCTTCCGATCACGTTTCCATCTTTCACGCACTCTAAAACGTCGTAGACGGTGAAATCGAGCTTTTGGAATGAGGTCATTTTCCACGAACTTGAGCCGTTTCTTTTAATCGATCTTGCTTTGACTATTGCGGCTATGGCAAACACTAGGGAGCAAATCAGTAGGCCAAGGGCGAAGATTAGCTTGAAATACGCCGGAGTTTTTCCCGATTTTGTTGCCGTTGTTGCGAAGTTGCAGGGATTGTTGAGGAGAGATCCGCAGAGTTGAGGATTTCCGGCGAAAGACGAAGCATTGAAGAAGGCAAGTTGTCCTGATTCCGGTAGCTTTCCGGAGAAATCATTGAAGGAAAAATCTGCAATCGTGAGGCTCTTCATGGCCCCTATTGATTTCGGTAGGGATTGATTTAGGTGATTTCTCGACAAGTTGAGGTAATTGAGAATATGTGCATTGGAAATTTCAGGTGGAATTGGGCCAGAGAGGTTGTTCTTGCTCAAATCAAGGTAAGTGAGATGGATACAATTCCCAATTTCAGGTGGAATTTCACCCGAAAGTGAGTTTCTGCTAAGATCGAGCTTCAGAAGTTCATTGAGTTCCCCGATGGAAGGAGGAATTGTACCATAAAACTGATTGCCATCAAGGAGGAGAATTTGCAGAGAAGAGAAATTAGAAAATGAGAATGGTAAAGTTCCAGAGAGAAGATTGTTAGAGAGATTAAGTTGCCCTAATTTGATGGGTTTTGATGAACTCTCCCAATTCTCTGAAAGTGTACCTGAAAGGTAATTGTCCTGAAACTCTGCTAGATTTAGCTGAGGCAAGTAAATGAAGCCATTAGGAATGCTTCCGTTCAGATAGTTCTGCCCCAACCTCACTTTTGTTAGACTGGTACATGTCCCCAAGCCATCAGGGATTGGCCCAAACAGGAAGTTGTTCATCAGAATCAATATTTTCAGCTGGTTCGATGAACACAAATCCTGAGGGATTGTGCCCGTGAGCTTGTTCGTTGACAAATCAAGGAGCTGAAGCCTCCCATTTTGGCCGAGATTCTTTGGGATTGTGCCGGTGAAGTTGTTCATCCACAGCGCCAAGCTCTCCAAGTTCGGCAAATCTGCTACGTAATCTGGAATAGATCCGTGTAGTTTGTTCATGAAGAGGTTGAAAAGCTTGAGCTGTTTGAGATCAACAAACTCAGATGGGATTTCTCCTGTGAGTGCATTGTTGGATAGATCGAGAAAGACCAAGTTTGTCAAGTTGCCTAACTGCTTCGGGACTGAACCTGAGAGTAGATTCGTATGCAAATATAGAGTGTTCAAGGCCTTCAAATTTCCGAGTTCATGAGGAATTTGACCGTCCAAACCGCAGTCTGTAATCTCCATAATAACCAAATTCTCCAACTTCCCGAGCTCGGGTGGAATCCCACCTTCGAAAACATTGTAATGACCCAAGTAAATTTCTCTCAAAGTTGTAAGATTTCCCAACTCACCTGGGATTTTCCCGACCAAATCATTTCCTGCAAGAGAAAGATATTGCAATCCTTCGAAATTGCCATAGCTTTCGGGGATTGTTCCATGGAAAAAGTTACCTCCAAGGTCCAAGTACTTGAGGTTCTGTAAGTTCAAAATCTCAGTGGGGAGCACAGCAGTGAAGTTGTTGTTATAAGCATCGAACACTTCTAAGTTTGGCAGACTCGAAAAGTTCCAGTCCAGAGTCCCAGTAAACTGGTTGTTTGAGATGTTAAGGAATCGGAGGTAACTCAAATTCACTACTTCAATGCTACCGGAGAAGTTATTTCCAGCCACAGACAACTGAGAAAGTTGGTCAAGACTAGAAATAAACGGTGAAACAGAGCCTCCAAGGCTCAAATCTGTCAAGTCAACCGACACAACTCGTTTGTCAGAGCACTGAATCCCGACCCACGAACAAACGGAGCTAAAGTTTGACGCAGTCCATGTGCTTAGCACAGCAGAGTCCGAGAATTGAAACCCTTGTTTCAGAGCAAGCAAGACATGGAAATCACTGACCAGACTATGGGAAGAAGAGGGGCCTAGAAGAGAGAAGAAAGTAAAAACAAGGAAAAACAACATGTTTTTCCCAAAATTGTTTCAAGGGAATTGAGTTTGGAAGCACGGGAAGGAAAGAGCAGCAGCAGCAGGGGTTTTAAGCAGCTTTGCAATAATGAATTTTTCGGCGAAGTGAGGAGGACAAGACAGTGGAATAATATGATGAACTTCCTCAAGTATGTTTGGGCTTAAGGCATCAAACATCTTCACTGAAAACGAGTCTTCAAATACAAGTAAGAAAAATTAAGACCATCCTTTTCTTTCTCCTCTTTTCTTTGCTTTTCTTTCTTTTCCAACAGAGATGCAATGTTGAAAATCTGCTACAAATGGTTCCTTTGCTTTCTGAATTCCTCTATGCCAAGTTTCTTTTAGCAAAGATAGGAGGAAAAGAGGGTGAAGAGAAGGAAAGAGAGGAGATGGTTTTGTAGAAAGACAAGTAGCTAGAAAAATGCAAATTTAAAAATGGCCGTTGGATAATAAAAAGATCAAATGGAGGTGGGGAAGGAGAAAGGGGAGGAAAAAAAAAGCAAATTTGATGCCTTGTTTCCTTTCTTTATTCATATGACAATAATACCCTTTAGCTTTAATTAAAGGATGCTCTTTATTGCTTTGAATGAGAGAGATAGCTCAACTGAAGGATTTGCACTTTCCATTAATAAAAATAGCTCAGTTGTCCTCAAGCTTTTGGTAAATGACTCTGATATTGTTGATATGTTTAGTTTTGTCTCTTCTTTTATTCTCTCCTCCAAATCGGCCTACCAACCTGAAAACTAACCAGGAAATTCAGGACAGTACTGCCTGCTCTCTGTACATTCTAGGCCTCAACTCAACCTCGCCCATAATGTCACTCCCAGATGAAGTTTTTGCTTCCCGACATAATCTTACCCAGACATAACCATCATTGTGTTGGTTCTGTTCAATAATTTCTCTTTGAAAGGGGTGAATCTCGAGAGAGAGAGAGAGAGAGAAACATTAAACTTTTTTAACCAAGAATCCGATTATACCAAATGATGTTCCTTCCTAATCCTATGCCTCTTTAAGTTCTGACTACAAAGAATATATTCTTCTAAGCCAAGAAAAAGAATGTCACAAGGAAGATGATTTAAAACCATTGCGATGATCCCTTTTTTTCGGTGTTTAACGATCATATGATAAAAGTTATCCACTTTTGTAGAAGAAAATATTTACCAGAGCTAAGATAATGAAGAGTTGATAACATGTGGGTGGAAAAGAAGATGATGATTATTAATACATCATTACGATGGTGTTGAATGATCAATCTATAATGATGGAAGGGATGCAACCTGCAGCAGGCAGGGGAAGTAGAAGGAGCCAGTAGGTCAGAGGGAGCTTCTTTTATTTATTTATTTATTTATTTATTCATTCATTTTTAATTGAGGGAAATTACTGTTAGCTTATATTTCTAATTTCAAATGATTTCTTCAACTTTATTCCTTCTTCCTAGTTGCCCTACAATGGTGGACCAATTATCCATGTAAAAAATTGTGGGATTTGAAAGCTTTATTAGAAGATGGAATAGTCTTAAAGAGAGAGCTGTAAAGTAAAAGCAGAGCAGCAGATGTAATCTGCTTTTGATCTTCCTCTTAAAAAAGGAAGAGCCAGTGAAAATTCTACCGGTACTCATCCCTTCCTTCCCTTCTCCTCTTGCATAGAAGACAGTGCTTTTTTTTTAAATTTTTTTAATTTTGTGATCTACATTTAGGAATTCTATTTTGGGATCCATGTTGCTGTTCCACCTTTTTTTTTCCTTTTAATGCAGAGTAGTTCCCCCTTGATGTATCAAATTTAATTGATCCATAAAGTTTAGTCACATTTGTTTCTTTTTAAAAAAAGTAGAACTATTTTGAAAATATAATTGTTATGAATGTATACACAAAATTAAATTTTCCATTATCGTTTGAATTTGGTAGAGTATGCTATTTCATGTCATTTCCTGGATTTATATTGATAGTCACTATGGAGGACTTGTCATCTATCTCTTGTTGGGTCGTATGATCAACGTTGATGAAAAATGTCGATAGTTGTTGTGTCTTGTCATCAACGTCGATTAGCACTGATGAGAAATATCGATACTAATGCAAATATGTGATAAGTGGGTGAATATGTTTGTATAGTACAAAATACACCCAGTAGACATGAGGACTACGAACATAATAATGAGAGTGGTGACTGTTGGCCTAGGTTACGAGAGTTAGAAGGAAGGGAGGGTGAAATTGATACGCACACCCCCACTGAGTGATTTTCACGGAAGGGAGACTTGGGCAAGAGTGCCGTTTGACAAGTCCTTATCTCTCATGCAGATGCAATATGTGGGCCTTCCATTTTGAAGGGTCACTGTCTTTCTAGGGTGTCTCTCTCACTGTGATCTAAAGAACCATTTGTGAACGCACCCAAAAGAAAATTGAGAAAATTGTGGTCACCCTTTTGCTTTTCTTGGTAATAGCAATGCCCATTTCTATTGCCATTGCCAATGCATGCCATTGGGACTACACAATATGAGTTTTGGTGAAGGGCATCTTTGACAAACTTTTCATTTCTCTTGTTTTCAAGTCTTGAGCATCATGTGTATCTTTATATATATATATTTTTAAAAATTTGTGAATATGTTGTTCTTTAATTTTGTATATGTTTTCCTTTTGGTTTCTTGTTTTTTGTGCTTGTTTCTAACTATTTTTTTAGATTTCGATGGAATCACTATTTTGGTTATGTAGATTGGTAAATTTTATATATGGTATTAAATATTAAAAATGGCATAACATTTTGAATGTTGTACTCTTTTAAGTTATTACCATATGTATATATGCTTGTTTTTATAAGTAAAAGAGATAGAAAGAAATAAGAAATGGGGTATGGTAGATGTCAAGATAATTTTTTTTTAGTGATTGTATGGTAAAATAGAAAGGGCATTTGTAAAGTGGTTCTTGTGAAAGTGACTTCAATGCTGAAGTCAAAATATGTGATGATAAAAGATATGGAGAATTTTGTAGTATCAACCATTTCTCATGTACAATTATGCCAACTCTTAAAGCAACACTTTTATTTTGTCATCAACAACGAAATATTACGTCGTTGAAAGTACTGATTCTTTCTTTATGTATGGTCACAAAGACGAAATATTACGCGGTTGAAAGTACTGATTCTTTCTCTATGTATGGTCATAAAAATCGATATTATGTCAGATATATATATTTAAGGGCTATTAAAGTTTTGCCTGATCAAATTGAGAGACCAACCTCTTATGGACAAATTTAAGACAAGATCAAGTAGAGACCAACCTCTTATGGACAAATTTAAGACAAGATCAAGTAGAAGCATGGAGGGAATCTACTAAAAAGAACATACTCCAACCCATTTACGATACATTTTCAAAATAAAAGGAGAAAAAGAAATAGTGATGAGTAGTATGAAAGTTAGAAGAAAGAGAAGAAAAGACAATGGGTTTTGCACAAAATGTTTTTGGTTGGAAAGGCAAAGAAATTATGAGAGAAGCATCCAAGAAGGCATTAGGCAAGAAGGGCAACACATCAATACTCATTAAGGTGGCCCTCAAAAGTAACCATAATTTTTTTTAACATATCTATCATATCTATCACCTATGGAAACAACATCATCACCTCTACCATCTCTTTCTGGAAGAACAAGCAAGGCTACCACCAATAATAGAGAGTGCCATTGTGTAGATATAATTTATACCTATTTTTATATCGATATTTTAGTCTTCAGTGAATTAAACTATCTTAAGACGTTCTAAATCCAACCCATGTACTGTTTTAATGGACGAAAAGTCCAACCCTTAGAGCATACTGCAACTCCAAGTGGAAAAAAGCTCATATCGAAAACTTCTTGCATTTCATCGAATTGTTTCCAAATTCTGTTGCATGTAGCTTTAAAACACAAGATAAACACGACCATATGACATAACAAACATCCTTACATGTTAATAATTATCTCCCTATTAAACCTTATCCTTGTATCTACCCACCACAACTTATTATTCTTCTTTATGTTAATCTTCATTAGATGGTGATGAAATCGGAACCTTTTGATATGGCGGATTTCTATTGGATAAAAAAGCAGTGGTAGAATCTACCTTAAGATCTTCTACTTTACCATAATATATTTTTAGATAATATCATATATTAAAATTTAATGCCCAACTTTGGTAGTCTCCAATCCAAAGTTGAGTAACACATGCAAGCAACTATAATCTTAGATATCATAAATTTGAGGAATTTTGTCATCTTACATAGAAACCCTAATTTTGTCCTAATTCATTGGTTTCAAGAAAGAAGTGTTTTAAGCCTTTGGTTTCATTATAACCACTAATTCCAAATTCCAACCCCATCAACTTTTCAACTGTATCATTCCTTTTTTTCAAATCACAAGATTTTTTTTTTTTTAATAATTGTTTTTAGGTGCTTATATCATTGTTACACGTGTCAATTGTGAGTGTCTCAATAATTTAATGGACAATAAAAAAAAGGATTTTATTTTGTACTTTTCTTTTAATAATGTTTGGTTCTTTTTTCAAATAATAATAAATAACAAAAAAAAAAAGAAAAAAAACTGAGGGGCTCATTTAAAAATATAATATTTTGAAGATAAAATTAAAAAAAAAAATTAAGAGATTAAGACTAAATTGAAGAATATTTAGTATATTTATCTTATCTTAAGATAAATGCTTTGAGACCACCGGTGGGAGATAGGTATCTTATCTTAAAATATTTTTGGTTCTTCGATGAAATAATTCATGAAACTTTTATAATTTTTCTATAAATTTTAATTTTAGAATCAAATTAAATCAATCTAATGTGATTTAAATAGTTTAAATATATTATATTTATGAAAGAAAAAACAGTAAAATATATAGTATTTTAAAAATAAAATAATTACAAATTTATTTCCACACATTTTAAGAGTAGAAATCAAGGCCATCTTTAAAAACTAATTTGTTTTAATAGCATTCATTAATTTAAGGAAATATTCCTTAATATGATTTTATTCCTTGACCACAAAAACGAAAATTATATATTTTATTCCTTAAAAAAAGGTTCATGACCAAGAGAGAGAATGAATGGACACCTTTTTTATTATTTAATTTAGTGATGTCATAAATTAAAAGTGTCAATGTACAATATATTATAATTTCCTGGTCAAAAGAGCCAATCATTATTATACTAATTCATACCCCTTCCAAGCTACATACATGCATAACTACAATAATATAAATAAACTATATAAAATATCTTTAACCTAGTTTCGATTTAATTTTAATTTATTTTTAGTATTATATAATCTAAACAATACGGTACCATTTTTCCAATACAATTATCGCAGATAAAAATGTTTATAAAGTAGAGTAGAATGAAGAAGTCTTCCTGTATCTGTCCTTGCCTTTTATGTCATTCTCGTCCTCGGGAAATTCTCCATTTATTTTTATAGAGAACGAGACATAATTTATCTACGGATAGTTTTTTTTTCATTTTTTGTGTATAATATATTTCAAAAATAATAATAATCTTATTAAAAATATAAAATATCAGGAAAAAAATATAATATAATATTTAACTTAATTTTCAAAAATTCAAATATTTAACACATATACACAGACAAAAGTAGGGCAAAGCGGGAATTGAGGTGAAGTTAGAGTCAAGAATGAGGATGGAGAATGTAATTCCTATCTCAATCTCATTTAACTAATAAAGAGAAATCAGTCTCCGCTTCATTCATTGCCAAAATGAAATTGGGATGGAATAAAATTAAAACGAGACGGAATATTTGGTATAATTTATGTAGTGAATAAAAAATAAAAGTTGACTAAAACCATACCGTAGGCTCATAGCACGTGGGAGCGAGGCAGCCGACATAGGTGGAAATCCATGTCACGTTCTTCACTTTATCCTTCCGTATAAGTATTCAGTCAATTCTTGGATTTTCTACTTTATCTATTCTTTATTTTATGTCTACAAATATTCTCATTTTTATACCAAATAATAATAATAATAATATTTAATTCTCTTTGCTATTTTATTTTACCATTTATATTTTCGTGTTTACTTTCTTTTTTTTTTTCGCAATTGTTTTTAAGCCGAGGTTAAAAATTTAAAATTTAATAAATATAGCTCATCTAACATATAAGGTATATTTTTTACGAACCTTAGATGTTTGAATTCTTCTACTTCCTACTAAATAAACTTTGAATTAAAAAAAAAAAATTGTTTTTGATTCTTGAAGATTGGGATCGAAAAACAAAAAACTAAAACTAAATTTTTTGAATTTTTCTTTTATTTTTCAAAATTTAGCTTATGTTTTTTTTATACGTGTAAAAATTAGATTATAAAATAAGAAACTTAGGTGTATAAATAGTATTTCCATGCTTAATTTTTAAAAAAATTGGGCCTTATAAGTGTTTTTAAAATTCAAGTTAATATGTAACAAAAAATAAACATATCTTTTTAATGATTTATTTCCTATTATTATTATTATTATTATAATTAAACATGTGAATTATTAGACATTAAAAAAAATAAAACTTTAAAAACTATTTCTCTTCCACAGTCACCTTTTTCATTTCTCTCTAAAACTCCTCGATTTAATTTCGAAAAGAAAAGAAAAAGAAAAGGGAACGGCTAAAATAAAATTAAATTAAATTAAAAAAAAAAAAAGATATTCCTAGGTCTATATGATTTAAATAAAGTCAACCCATTCTCGCCCTCATATCTAAAAATAGAAAAAGAAGAAAACTATTTTCGAATAATTTATTATTTGTGGAAAATCATTAATTAGATACTTCACCATTTCATACCACGAAAAGAACAATTTTAAAGATTATAACTAAATAAATTTCTAAATATATTTGTTGAATAGATAAAAATAATAAAGGTTTTATGAATAAAAATATGTAAAATAAGGGAGAAAATTATATAATTCCGTCCCATAAACTATACATTATTTTTTTAACCACACATTAAACCCATTTAAATTTGATGAAATTTTAAATGTTTAACACATATTTATTTATTTTTTTGTTGGATGCTTTAATTTTAACTTTATATTTTTAGACCACTGACTTAATGCATTTAAATGTTCGACATTTTTAAATATCACATCTATTTTTTTTTTCTTTCACTTTATTTATTTATTTTTTAATAAAAAAAAACCAAATAATATGGTTGCAAAAAGTTAATTTTAATTAAAAATAGGACATTTCAAATTAAAGGCAAAATGGGTCCTCCTTTGACAAAATTAAAATTATTACTTATATTGTTTAATTTGCTGAAAATAAAAGTAACATATATATCCACATCCTTTCCACATTATAACAAACAAACATCCAAATAATTGATGGATTAAATCTATTGGAAGTTAAAAAGAAACAACTTTTTTATTATTATTATTATTATTAATTTGTAATTTTCTTTTTGCAATATATTAATGGAAGTTTTATCTTGCCAAATCCAACTATGGATCACTATTTTAGCCCTAATATAAAATTTTGTATTGGGCCTTATGATATAAAATGGTCAAAATGAGGTCAAATGGGCCAATTGAACCAAAACTGATCTAATTGGATTAGATTGGACAGGTCCAACCAAACCGGCCATCTTCTAACTCCAACCGACCGCATGCATGGTCCAACTAAACCGATAATCTTCTACCTTCAAGCCTCCAACCAACCGCGTGCATAAAGACCTAAATTAGTAGACAACATCATAAACTTCGAAATCTATAAATAAATATATTTAGGAAACCGACCATAGTCTTTGGCAGGAACATCTACAATTAATCAAGTATACCGTCTATTGTAAAACCTGGATCGGGCAGCGTTGAAAACTTTTTCCCTATCACAATCTATTTCAAGAGGAAGTCACAAAGTTTCGCCGACTAATGTCTTCCAAGGAGTATCGAGGGTGGAATAAGATTATATTCTACGTGAATATGTAATTAATATATGTTTTCGACTAAAATGTTCGATTTTTGAACCTTTTATAACAATGATATCAATATTGGAAGTAAAACCCTAGAGAAGACCTTCTAACATTGATATAGAAACTAAAAAGAGTTGATTCTTGCTTCCCTCCCTTTGAAGGGAAGAAATTCCCACTTTTACCAAGAGTTCTGAAAATGCTCTGAACCACCTCTCTTCGCCTTCCCTCTTCTTTTTCCAAATAACTCTCCATTTTTTAGCTTCGAAAAGGGTAAGTTATGTTCTTCCTCTCTTTCTACGTTTCAACTTTGGGTTTGTAATTTTCATTATAATAAGCAAACACGCACAAATTTTACTGCTCCTTACGCCATCCACAGTTTTCTACTTGCAGCCGAAACCATTGGACTAACCCATTGGATTGTGAAAACTATCGATTCAGCTGTTGGGTTTCCCCCATTGACCACTGAACCGCTCCAGAATACGATTTTCTGTATTTTAGTACTCTCTCTTTTGTACTTCACGCCTTTTCCGTTTGGTTTGTCCCTTGAAAAGCTTTCTTCGGGGTCGTTTTCTTATTGGTATGTCGCCTTCTCTGAAGGGTCATTGAAATTTTCAATGAAATAGGGATATGAAAGATTGCCCATGATTCTTAGCTTTGGTTTGAATTCCATCGCCTAAATTTCTTGATTTATCTCTGCGGTTTTCAGGGTCGATTTTGAAAGAAGAAAGTTATAGTGAGTTATGTCTTGCACCACTTTTAACCTTGGAGGAGGATCCTTTAAGTTGTGTAGCATTGACAGGGGCAGCCAGATTAAGAATCGTGTCCGATTCTTTAATGGGTTTGTGCCCAATGGCCGATGCAATTTAGTCTCTAACTCTGCAAGTTCTTTCTCTGTTGGATCCCTCAGCTTTAATTCTCTTCCACCTAAGGATTCTCGCTTCCACAATCGCTCACGTTTCTCATATCATGTCATCAATTGCTCTATTGTAAGCTCAGAGGTGTCAACCTCTTCTAATAAAGTCGATGGTAATTTGGGGTTTTTTAAAATATTGGTATTGTTTGGATGATTTAGATGGTTGAAACTTATTCTTTTTTGTTAACTAATACTTGCAGATGAACGAGTTGTTGTATTGGTGATTGGTGGAGGAGGGAGAGAACATGCGCTTTGCTATGCATTGCAGCGATCTCCTTCCTGTGATGCTGTGTTTTGTGCGCCAGGCAATGCTGGGATATCGAGCTCGGGCTATGCCACTTGTATTCCTGAGCTCGACGTCTCCGATAGCGATGCTGTCATTTCGTTCTGTCGGAAATGGAATGTAGGATTGGTTGTTGTAGGTCCTGAGGCCCCTCTTGTTGCAGGGCTTGCAAATGATTTAGTGAAGGCTGGGATTGCTACTTTTGGCCCTTCAGCTGAGGCTGCTGCTTTGGAAGGCTCCAAAAATTTCATGAAGGATTTGTGTAATAAATATGGAATCCCCACTGCAAAGGTTTGTTTTTATTGATCTTGGCTCTGTACCTTGTACTTGTTTGCTTAGTTCCTAGCCAAGTTCATGCTGCATATTTCTCATTATATTTGCTAGCGGTGTGCTTGGGTTGATACATTAAGAAACAACCTATCGCTTAATGTCTTTGTTTATATCTGACTATCGTCTGTCTCGTGGATTACTTGGTACCAGTATCAATCATTTACCGACGCTTCTGCAGCAAAGCAATATATTCAAGAACAAGGCGCTCCAATAGTCATCAAAGCCGATGGATTGGCTGCTGGAAAAGGAGTTATTGTTGCTATGACATTGGAGGAGGCGTATGAAGCAGTTGATGCAATGCTTGTGGAGGGTGCTTTTGGTTCTGCTGGTGGTCGTATTGTTGTTGAAGAATACCTGGAAGGAGAAGAGGCATCTTTTTTTGCTCTTGTAGATGGAGAGAATGCCATACCCTTAGAATCTGCCCAGGATCATAAAAGAGTTGGGGACGGTGACACCGGACCCAACACCGGTGGCATGGGTGCTTACTCTCCAGCTCCTATCGTGACGAGGGAACTTCAAAGTATAGTTATGGATTCTATAATTCTGCCTACTGTAAAAGGAATGGCAAAAGAGGGTTGCAAATTTGTTGGGGTTTTGTTTGCTGGTCTGATGATTGAGAAGAAGTCTGGCTTGCCAAAGTTGATCGAATACAACGTACGCTTTGGAGATCCCGAGTGTCAGGTTAGTTGACGCTCCCTAAAACTAATGTTGTGTGTTTAATTTAGCCATATGCACCTTGCACATACATTACTATATACTTCTAAGGAAACTCGAACAAAGGGATGGTAAATTCACGATGAAAGAGGCATTCCCAAATTGTTAATAGGGATGCATTATAGGAAGCGAAAGTGTTAGATAATTTACACCTAGATAATTTACACCAAGAGAAAACCTGTCAAGGGTGTGCTCTTTATCCATGAGCACCCTTTGTTCTATGAGATCACACATGGGTTGGAGAGGGGAACGAAGCATTCTTTAAAAGGGTGTGGAAACCTCTCCCTAGCAGACGTGTTTTAAAACTGTGAGGCTGACGACGATACGTAATGGACCAAAGCAGACAATATCTACTAGTGGTGGGTTTGGGCTGTTATAGTTTCTTTCCTTCCATAATACCCAAAAGAAAGCTCGAGTGATATTCATTCCTAACAAAGCTTTTGCATCCTTAAAGGGGTGCCCGGTTGGAATAATAGTGAGAAGGATCATCACACATCACTAGGGATTGCATCCTTAAATCCCTTAATTTCTAGCTCCCGTAGTTCGAATTCAGGCACGGAGAAGTGCTTCCTTATGAAGAGGGCGTCCGGGGGCATTGTGACATTGTGTTGCTTTGAGATGGTTGTATTTCATTAATTCTCAAGTAAAATGCTAGCTTTGTAAGCTTTCCCTTGTATTACATTGGAAAACCAAAGCATGTTAGCATTATAGCTTCTCCTTTTCATTAATTTATATGTTCTTGACATGCTTCTGATTGTTGACCTCTGGCCATGATGAAAAACAGGTGCTGATGGTTAGGTTCCAATCAGACCTTGCAAAAGTTCTTCTTGCTGCATGTAGAGGAGAGCTAAGTGGGGTGTCACTGGATTGGTCCCCGGGGTCTGCGATGGTGGTGGTAATGGCGAGCAAGGGCTATCCCGGGGCATACGAGAAGGGAACTGTGATTCGAAACCTCGAAGAAGCAGAGCTTGTTGCTCCATCTGTTAAGGTATTTCATGCTGGCACTTCTTTGGACCCTGAAAACAATTTCATTGCTGTTGGTGGGCGTGTTCTTGGGATTACTGCAAAGGGCAAAGACATCGAAGAAGCACGGGACAGAGCATACCGAGCAGTCGAGGAAATCCGTTGGTCGGGCGGGTTCTACAGGCGGGATATAGGGTGGAGAGCTCTAGAAAAACAAGTTTCTTTGAAGGAATAGTGCACAGATTTGAAATTTTTGGCATTTGGTTAAGAGTATAGGATCATATATTAGTTCTCACATCCTCATGAATAAATTCACAGGCCCTACACTATCTATTTGTTACTGATATCTCCTGTTCTTGAGGGAAAATTTGGGTTTTATGTAAGTGGTGGATGTTTTTCTAGCTTGGATCATTGTCTTTTCCTTAATTGTCACTAAGCTATCCTTATAACGATAATGTAACTAAAACGCGGGGAAGACTGTCTAGGACTTTACTCCGTGGCTGTTGCGATTCACTGTTGAAGTAAGAAAATGTAAACTTATACAAATATGGTTTTATGTTTCGTGGAACCTAAAATCATGTTTGGTAGGTTTGAATGCATAGTACTTCTCTACATATGACTCACGTACATGCATGTAGATTCACTAGGCAAATACCTCGTCCTCGGGCTTGTATATATGATATGCACTCTCACGCAACTAAACTACGAGAAGAAATACGTCTTGAAATCATTATTATAGGTACATGTTCATACAACATACAAGTAGAAGTAATCCATACTCAATATACGCACAACATACATGAAAGATGAGCATAAAAATCATGGTTATAAATTAGGTTGCAAGACAATAACGATGGAATTTCGGCCTAAATTTGGAATAACTTTACATATGCTTCATTTTTTTCGAACCAATTACATTATTTTTTCCATAAAAAACGTGGATCGTTCGAAATTTAATTAAAAAAAAAAAAAAACTCACGTGGGTGGTGCACTTTTGTAAATAAAGAGATGTAAAAAACCAATGGAACTTCTTCACATGACTTATATTCCTTACCCTCATAATGAACAATGATTTCACTTGGAAAACAGACTCTTATAATTATTTCATGTTTTTTTATGGCAATTAAAAACTTAATTTAAATAAATAAATAAATAATATTTAATCCACCATTATATTTGCACAATAAACACTGCAATTAATAATTGGTGTCAAAGCAATCATGAACTAAGTATTATTATTAACAAATAATTTCAATATTATCATTCCCCAATATCTATAATAAAGTATATATATATATATATATATATATATATATATATATATATATATATACAATTTAATAAATTATAAATTATATTTATAGTTTTAATTCCCTTTAAAAAATATATAAATAAAGTCTAAGAAAAGCTTGCCCTTGATGCTTAAGGAGCTTGGAAATATCATAAACTTAAGTGCTTTTTTATTTTAAAAAGGATAATATTTCATGTTTGTCCTTGATGTTTCAAAATATTAATTTTAGTCCTAAAATTTTAAAATATTTATTTTTGTTTTGGAACATTCAAAAATAATAATTATTATTATTATATATATTTTTTTAAAAAAATAAAGTATACATTTTAAACTGAAATAGCAAAGTTTGAAAAGGTGAGGGACTAAAATGCAATTTAAAGGAAATGATAAAATTTTGGTTTGGAAAATTGATGCGTTATTTCCTTTTGCTTTCACCGCAAGTACAGAAGAAAAAACTAACACATTCCTTTCTTCCCTGAATTATTTTCTCTTTATTTGAGCCTACGCGTAGCTCAAGGAAGAAACAATAATCAAAAAGTGAAAACCCCACAATCATTTTCACTCAGAATTCCTTTGTAACCTTCCTGTTCTTCAGCCATAGCCATCATTTAGCTGAGAGAGAGAAGCACGTGCCATTGAAGTGGAGGGTCCCCAGCTGAAGGATGGGGGAAAAGGAAATTGAAGCCAAGAATGTGATGAAGAGGTCGAAGAAATCACAACTTTAGTAATGTAACTTTCAACCTTTTGCCGCCCAGTAGCTGTTTTTTTCTGTTGATTTGTTTATTACAATTGTATTTATGTTTTTGGTTTGGTTTCGAACATCGAGGAATTCTTTTGCTTGATTGTTGGGAAAGTAAAAGGATGCTTGAGAGTGGGGACTTGGATTGGAAAGAAAAGAGAAAAGGGTTGATAGATATATGCTTCAATCTATTTTTCAACCTCTTTTTTAGTGTGCTTTCTTTTCATGGGGCCACTTGCTTTTAAAAAATGTCTTACATGGAAATGGGAACTTGGGTTTTCTTTTCTGATGCGCCCTTTTACATGAAATGAAATGGATTGTCTGTTTAGTGAGAGGGATTAATGAACCACATGATCTAAAACTTCATCAAATCTTGTTGCTATGAACCATTGTTTTGATTTGGTTTAGCTTTTGAAGATTGGGAGATGAGATAACTATCAAAGATTTCAGAATTTGGGCATTTTTTGTTCTATTTGCGTGACTTTTGTAGCATCTTTAGACACTTAATGTGTTTGAATCTCGATGAACTAATAGACGGAGGCTTCTCTAACAATGTGGGGTCATTTGCTGAAACTGATGGTGGTGGTCCTAAACTTATATGCTTTTCATTGTTATTATCAAACATGGTGATTGTTCTGTTGACAAACATGTCTTCAATCGATGTATTTTTGGCAGAAGAGCAGCAAATGTGTTGTAATGATTGAAGCTTTCTTTTTCAACAACACTTTGAATCCTCTGGTAAGGAGATAATTCTGGTTCCTTCATATCAGGTGGGTTCTAATGGATTAAATATCACAATTTTTGTGTTAGAGAAATGAATATAAAACTGCTTGTAACATCCATGGTGCAAGGTAAAGAGTTGTAATCTTTGGACAAAGGGCAAAATGAAGAAGGAGGGGGACAGGGTTCATCTTAGGTTAAGAGAGTTATATAGAAACAATTCTCTAATATTCTAGCTGCAAGCCCCAACTAAATACTTAACGACTTAGAAGTAATGTGAGATCCCACATCGGTTGGGATGGAGAACGAAACATTCTTTATAAGGTGTGAAAATCTCTTCCTAGCAGACGTGTTTTAAAAACTTTGAGGGGAATCCCGAAAGGGAAAGCCCAAAGAGGACAATATCTGCTAGCGGTGGGTTTGGGCTGTTACAAATGGGCGAGGAGGCTAAGTCTCGAAGGGGGTGGACACGAGGCGGTGTGCCAACAAGGACGTTGGGACTCAAAGGGGGGATGATTGGTGGGTCCCACGTCGATTGGAGAAGGGAACAGAGTGCCAACGAGGATGCTAGGCCTCGAAGGGGGGTGGATTGTGAGATCTCACATCGGTCAGGGAGGAGAACGAAACATTCTTTATAAGGGTGTGGAAACCTCTCCCTAACAGACACGTTTTAAAAACCTTGAAAGGAAAAAACTCAAAAAAAGACAATATCTATTAACGATGGGCTTAAGTAATGAATCTAAAGGTAAAACTATTGAAAGTAACCTTAAAGCGCGCCTTGGATGAGACGTTTGGAGATACCCTCCCACATCTTTTAAGGACTCGAAAAACTCGATAACTTAAAACTCTTACCTTACGGCCCCTGTTGTCTTCTAAAGCTAGCTTTGGTAGGCAAAACCTCTCTCTACAGATTAGTGGGAAGTGGGCATATGCATAGTAGGAGTGGAACCCAAAACACACGATTGTTAAAAGTAAAGTAAAAAAATAAAATAATAACAATAAAAAGAAGAAATTCATGGTGGTACAGCAAATGGCTTTAGTGTTTCTGATAAAAGTTATGGGTTCCTCTCAACAGGTTATTTGAAGAGGAGAGATGTATGAGGAATAATTGTGGTATATATCACATTCTTTCCTTCCTTTGCTCTCTTTTGCCACCAACCACTTTTCTTTCTTCTCTTGAATCATATGGATGTGCTTGGTTCAGCATAGCTGTAAGGTGAGCAAAACATTATTCTCTTCTGCTTCGCTTTATCATGTCGTTTTTATCTTTAGATTCTTTCTCACGAGGAATAATTTGTTCTTCTTCTTGATACAAAATGGCTACACAAATAAGACATGCCTTCACTTTGAGCTACCTTTTGTTTTGCTTAAATTAATATCAATATCATGACTGCTTTTTGTATTCCTTTTCCTTTCATCTGCTTTCATGGTGTTTTTATATGAGATTTTGTGAGATATCCCTACTCTCCCAATGATGACATCTAGAGGAACATATTGAATATCAACTGGGTTACTGTTTTGATGATTTGAAAATGCATGTTTGAGCTAAAAAGTCCGTAAAAAACTTGAGAAGCTATTTAAAACACCCACCGCTAGTAGATATTGTCTTCTTTGGCCTTTCCCTTCTGGGCTTCCCCTCAAGGTTTTAAAACGGGTCTCCTTTCCACCCCTTATAAAGAATGTTTCGTTCTCCTCCCCTACCGACGTGGGATCTCACATATTTTATGATCGTTAGATAATATCTCCCTTCAGATTATTTACTGTATAACTCTCATTTCCATTACAAGCACCTTTAATTACCTCATTCATTGTGACTGGTATAGATTTAATTCTTCATCTAAATGAAATTTGGTTCCTTTAAAAAGTGGAAACTTTTTTAAAATTACCAATAAGCCATTCTTGTTTTAGCTCCCCAGACAAGGAGGGCCAACCTTTTGCTTTCTTTAAGTTCGTTGCTTCAGACAAAGTATAGTATTCACTAAGCTAGGCATCCTCATTTATATGGAAAAGGTGTAGCAATCAAATTATCATGAACCCTTTTGCCATTTATTTTATTTTTCTAAAGTGGAAAGTGTGAGCTGGGTTGGCTACTTTATTAAATATTGCTTTGAGAAAAATAGATGTCTTGTTTTTTGATGACAGGTTAACCATGGAATTGGAAGTTTTGGATGCAAACTATCCTTCATAGCCTAAACCAATACTTTAGAAGCTCTTAAGAAACCGATTAGTTTATAGCCAGATGGTTCGCTTCATTTTCGATATCGCGACGTCAGAATAATCGACCGCTATCACAGAGGAGGATCTTGGACATCTTCTTCATTTTCTCTTGGCTTCTGTAAGTGCTAGAATTTTGTTTATTATTCTCTTCTTGTGCCTCTGCCTTGGAAATGGGATTCTAATAAGAATGCTGAGAAACTCAGTTTCTTTTCAGGGATATGGATCATCAGCTATACATTCTTATGTAGAAGCCATTTTTATTAGCTTCATTTTTGCTCCAAGCTTTTAGTTGAGGAAGAGATAAGCCACCATCTCAAAGTTAAAGGTATGAGTGAGATTGGTTCTGAAAGATCAAAGTCATGGAACATATACACAACTCCAGACCAGAGCCCATCATCTCAAACAGGCATTGGTCAAGACGCTCCTTGGAAGAACTTTGGATCCTCCATGAATGCCATTTCCTTTGGCTTTGTTGCTACTGCAATCTTGATATCCATGTTCCTTATCATGGCCATCTTTGAGCATCTTTTTAGACCAACTTCTTCTTTCTCCTCCTCTGGTGAAGTGACCAACAACTTTGCACAATCGGGTCCGGTCGAGAAATTCGCTAGTCCAAATACGGTATGTTTCGACTCGGATTGTTTACCTTTACAGTTTGTGTTTCTTGGCTTGTGGGGCTTAGATTACCAACCTTTGATATTATTTAACTCGTTACCGCTTTCCCTTTCCCATAAACAAGTGTTTCAGTGGCTTAGGCTTTAAACTACATCATATCCTATATCAATTCCCCTTCCCCTTGAACAGATTTGTTTAGAGACCTGTAGGTGAAAACAACTTAAAGCATACCACTTTTTAGAATATGAGATATCTGTTCCCAGTCCTTGACTCGTAGTAGATAAAGTCACCTTGAGACGTTTCTCTAATGAAAATGGGCATTTCGATTGGTTTCGAGAAAAACAATCATAATTAACTCTTCTAAAATTTCGTTAACTCTTCATAGAACTCTTCGTACGTGCGTCGAAAAACACTCATAATATCCTAACTAGTTTTGTTTCTGCTATTTTTTCTTGTCATCTTCAAGAACATTATCTTTTATCAGAACAGTGACAAGACACAGAACATCAACACAAACCAGTACCAATCATAACACAATACATGCTTTTCTTTCAAGGACAAGACATTGCATTGGACATAGGAGATGATATGTTTTTGTTCTGTGGCAGGTGCCAACATCATATGCAGCTGATTTCTCGGTGTTGATGCCAGGTCAGCACATCCCCACCTTCATTGCCCAGCCAGCCCCTCTGCCATGCCAAAGAGAGGGGACTTATTGGCCATCTCACGACCATAATTTTTTAGGCCCTTGAAACAAAGATGATATTTCTTGCCTCCATTGGAAGCAGCTGCTGCATTTAGGAAAACTGCCAGCTTTGCTTCTTCTCAGAATAATAATTCTTGTGCTCCTTCACCCACTGGGAGATTTGATCAAATGCTTGTGTTCTTTTTCAGTTTCTGATCTGTAAATTGATTATAAAAGAAGGGCACAAGTTCTTCCACGATTTCAAGGTGTAAGTAGATATCACTTCACTTCCTCTACAGTGAGAAGGTGCTTTAAAATTCAACATTTTGAAAGGAAAGTGTTTCTGTATAAGCTCTCATATATGGCTACAAACACAAGGAACATTTAAAATCTCTACTTATCCACAGAAGACCTGAAAATGTTATGTACAAGTCTTCATTGCTTCAATATCGTATTACGTACACGAAAAGTAAATTCCATTGCCAACATAGATGACTCCCCTTTTGAATTGTAATTGAATCCACAGCAGAATCATCCAACATTATCTTCCCACATTGCTTCACCCCTTGTAGAGTTCTGGATTCATGGATTGTTCTGTCTAGTTATGCTTCGTTTCAAAATGTGCTGATTCTCAATGATCTTGGTAGTCTTCAAACAAACGAACAAAACGAGCTAATTGTCGTTGATTTCTTCTTCATCGGATAATATGACAGTTAGTAAAGAAAACTTAACCCGAAGGGAGATCCTCCCCTTCTCCACCATGAGTCTTGCCCCAGAGACAACCCAATACCCAGGAGTTTCTTGGGGCCCTCTCTTCATTTCAGTGGTATCGACGAATTTCAGAAGCTTAGGGGCTTGTACAGGCACTGGTGGACCCCCAGGATATACAGCAGAGTTTATATTCACATCAGCTGGTTTTGGAGGCGGTTTCTGAACTGCTGAGAAATGATGACTGATAAGTGTTGATATAAGTCCAGACTTGGCGGCCAGTCCAGGTGAACCTTCCCACTCTGCCTGCTTTACAACTGTAGCTCCCAAAACTGAACAGAAGAAGAGTCGCAGAAACAGAACATTTCTCATCCCATGATTCACAACCTGTAACTGTGCCCCAGTAACTATTGAGAGATCCTCGTCCGCTTCGACAGGAGCAGTGCAAACGTGAGAAAAGTACTTGGACTGAACTTTTTCAAGATATCTGCGATCGTAAGACTCCTGACCGGAGTTGCTATTTGGATCCTCCGTAAGTTGAAAACTTATGGGTAAAGAGGAGAGGTGCTGCAAGTGGATGGATAAACAGTTGCTTCTTTTACCTTCCAAATAAAGCCGGAGACCTGTAACTGGCCTCCTACCCACATCAACCTGTGAAAGAAGACACAAGTGAATCATAGGCCTTTCAATTTTCTGTTTCCTATAACTATAAAGACACTTGGTCAACAACATTGGTTCTTTATGTTAATATTAGATTCTCAAAAAAATTTGCAATTCCACTACGAGAATTCAATCTATTTGTTCTATTTTTCTGAAGTCTTCCCCAGACAGAGAAGAATTCTGAAATCAAGACAATATTACAAAGTCCAATGAACAAGCACTATGATATACCAAACGCATGGAGGCCACTGCTATAAAAGTAGGAGTCTTCTACCACATTGTAGTCGGAATTTCCCACTAATTCCCATGATCCACAAACATTCTTACACCAGAAAACACTAAGTTTGTTCCAAAATTTTTAAAGCATTCAAACAAAATGGTGATAGATTTAGCTTATCTTAGTGCCACGAAGTTTGATAGAAGACAGTAGAATGAATGGAACTTTATCCCAACTTTGATCATTCCTAATTTTGGATGATAACTAGAGCAGAAGTTTTTCTGGAAGCTTTCACATAAAAGACTCTAGAAAACAAAAATATACCTTTGTGGGAAAAGGTATAAGCCTCCAGATTATTCATAATATCATGTCTGGTTTAGAGATTATTCATAAACAAAAATATACAAATTGGCTGGTTTAGAGATGCCATAATATCATGTCCAACCCTTGGGTTAACTATGTGAATATTTCAAGGTCAAACTATTAAGTTATGAATTATAAAAGATATAAGCCTACAGATTATTCATAGTTTAATGCAGTAGGCATAAAACAAAAAGTTCGAGAAAAGAAACCATACTGGCGTAGTATTCACATAAAGCTTTGATCCCATAAGGCTAAACTGGAGAGATGCCAAGTTGCGTTGTTTCCGCTGAGGACCAAGTGGAAGCTCACTGAATATCGGCGCCCACTGCCTTGGGAGCTGAAACTCCAAAAATTGATGAAGCTCTTCAATTGGTGGTTTGTCTGCAATAATGAAAAGGATGTAAGAAAAATGCAAGAGAACGTGAACATCTTGAGATCCGCAGCATATCCGCAGCTCTTCATTTGGAGTTTGCTAGCAGGATGTAGATTACTCACATCGCAAATAAAGATTTATTGCATGGCTTAAGAATCCACTCCCTGGGACTCCATTCAATAAAGAAGTAATTGGGATAAAGGACACTGAGATCACGTCCGGCTCCAACTGAACTGTCTGCAACCACTCATGATGAGGGAGGTTAATCCTGTCACTTCCACCTCTTCTCTTGTAAATGGTTACAATGTCCTGGCAAGCAAATTGATGAAATAGAAAATATGTCAAAATAATCCAAAGTTTCTCATCATTTGCAACAATATAATGATTAATATAAGAGTAGGCATGGTAGAGATATTCAACAACTCTCTCAACAAAATAACTCAATAAATATTACCTCCTTCAGTGCAGAAATTGCAGAGCTAGCATCGGAAAACTGCAAATGCTGCTCCCTACTTTCAAACTGAAACAAAATATGATTAGATTTAGGTGAAACCTTTCTATATGAATGATAAAAATATTATGCTTCAAATATCAGAAACCTTGTCATTGTTGTAAATCCATTCTGAACTCATTCCGTATTGTCCCATGGTCTCCGTAAACCTTTTATCTGCCATGTCCTTCAGTCTCTTCTGCACTTCAGAAGGTTCAAGAGTAGATGAATGCTGCTGCTTCATATATATTACATCCTTTCCTCCCATCTTAAGGCCAACAATAATGTGGGTGCCAAAGGTTTCAATAAACCTAAATAAAGTAGGTAATGTGATTAATTCTCTTGAAAAGGGTGAAGAACACAATTCAACCTTTTTAACATCAATGTTCATAGCCAAAGTTTCTATTGAAATTTACTGTGGCTAAAATATAAGCAAATAACTAGGCATTCATTTTCTTTTTTCTCTTCTGTTTCTTTTATAACACATCCAAAGAGAGACATTAAAGCAACTTAAGTCTCTTTCATTTTTACACAATTAACAACTCTCTTGTTCCTCTCAAATCAAGTGGTCAAATTAATTATTATATTGAACACTCAACTTAAGGGCATCACCATTGTTCTCTGCTAATCTTGTAGAACTAAAACAAAGTATAGGAGTGTGAACTAGAAGGAATATGACACGAAATTTCATACAAGAAAAATATGGTTCCATATCTTGTAAAAAAGAACACACCTTGCAAGTGCAGCAGGGTCCCAAGATGATGGCACAGCTTTTCTTACGTGATCGCGGAGTACCATCTGTGATTTTTCCAAAGCAACTGTATACAGGGTAATGAAGACCCCATCAAAAGCTAGATTCTTCGTATTGGCTGCATCTTTCTGCCAACATCCTGAAAACTCAAACATGGTGTTGAAGTGACCTGAAGGAATTTTACCAGTCAGAGTCATCTCCTGATTGAACTGCTCTGACATCTGCATTTTAAATTTTGAATGCTAGATGGTTAGTACACATTGAGAGTGCACAAAACCATAGAACAGTATGGTTTCGCATCATTGCATTGAGACTACACGAAAAATTGGTATTTTCTTTTTCATAATTTTTTTTCCTCTCAACAAACAGGTAAGGGAGGCAGTTCTCACAGCCCCTAAAGCAGAAATAAAATAGCTGGGAGCCTTTAGTCTTTACAAGAGAATTCTAGTTGTCGTGATCAGATCGGAGCATGCACTTTCTAACATAAAGCAAACCTTCAAGTTAAATCCAGTTTAACGACACTGGTTTCTCAGTGGACGCAATTTTGAGCGTATGAAGAGTCATACAAAATTCATCCGCTCTCACCCAAAAATTTATCTCCATTTCAACAGAGATGAAGGCCAAACTGATTTTACCAAAAATAGGCCAAGATGCATAGTCATGCACTACTCTACAGCATAATCATACTAAATCTTTTCAGAAGAAACTTAAAGTACCAGATCCATAGCTATCCAAGCATTAAAATTAAGAGCAATACCTGTTGGAAAGAGAGAACATCAGACCTGAACCTGGTTCGCTCCCCTTTGTCACACTTAATCGACTTGGGCACATTTGAGATCGAAATCCCACCAGGAAGAACAATCCCATGACCTACACCTTCATCAATTTCTATCAACCGAGAATCATGAAAATTCCCCTTACAGTACTTAAGCCTTAGATCTGTCGTTATGTCGTATCCACGACCAATAGACCCAATGGCTACCTCAGCTGCCTTGGAAGGATGAACTTTAAGCGCCATAACTCAAACACACATCACTCTTGACCTCGACCAGATGAACACTACACAGTAGCAGCAAATACAAACTATATAAACAGTATACTAAGCGGAAACAAGAAGAAAAGTTAAAATTAAATTAAGACCCAACATACGAGGCGAACATAATACAAATCCAGCTCAGACAACTAAGCTAAATCCAATCTCCACAAACTCTTCCGCCAATCAAAAACCAATCAAATCCCAAGTTATATTAGCACAAAAAACTGACCCAAGCACAATCTATAAAGTTCAGGCAATCATCACCGAACCCAAAATCCAGTGGGGTAGCAGCAATCATACTCTTAATTGACGCAGTCGAGAAACAAAGCCAAATGACGATCCCAAAAAGGCTAATAAGAGCTCAAATCCAGAAGTAAATAATAACAAAATACACTGGAAATGTCGAAGAAACCAAATGGGTCGAACAAAAAACAACAAAAACAACGGACAGAGTCCCAATGCTTACATTGAAAAAGCCGGAATTGAAGATTGAAGTTGCAGAGCAGGTTTAGAGAGACGAAAGAAAACCCTAAGGGGCAAGATGGAAATTGAGAGGGAGAAGTAAAGTGCAAGCCCTAGAAGCAGCCAAGGAAATATCAAACAAACATGGCGTTCTTTTCTTTCTTTTTTCAGAAGGAAAAAAATAAAACTAAATTCTTCTTTGGAGGGTTTGACCAAAGTGGACACGTGAGAGAAGCTTGTACACAGTCAAACTTTCCGGTTCTTTTTTTTCCAAATTGGGTATTGCTAACTTAACTGCCTGTCACGCCTTAAAAAACTCACCCCTCATCTTTTATTTTTGTTAAATATATATATATATATATATTTTTTTTTTTTTTTTTTATGAGATTGAGAATTATAATAAATATGTAATGTTTTATTTTTCACTTCAAAAATCTTATTATTTTATATTTTACGTGGTTTTCTTTTTCTTGAATTATTATTATTTCGTGTGTTTTACACATTGTTTGTATTAATTACGTAAGTGCTCCATTATCTTATTTCTCAATAAAATATATATATATATTGAATTATTCTACACCTTTTCAAAATTATTTTCCTGGTATTCCTCGGTCTCTCGACGTGTTCGCAAAGGGATAAAATTCAACAATTTATCTTTTTCAATAAATCAATTTCACCTTTTTTTTTCCTTTTTTTACCAAAATTTAACAATCATATCTATTTAAATTTTGAATTTTTATAATTATATTAATTTAAATATTCCGTTATTTTTCATTTAAAAATGTTAATTTATTTTTCAATTAGTTTAGACCATTATTTTTTGTTATATGCATATAAGAATCATATCATGTCTGTAATGTTTGATGGGTTTATTTTATGCATTAATGCAAGCATACAATATAATATTATATGAATAATTAAAAAAAAATTGGAGCACAAAGTTTGGCACGATATTAGGAGCAAAGAAATTGGAAACCACACATGCTGTCACATGTCTTTCACATACCCCATTTTCATCTCCAAATAAAACCAAATTTTCATATTTAAACCACTTGTCCTTTTGCCATCATGCCAAAGTTTCAATTTTTTTTGGGATTCCTTTCATATTTGTAATTTCCCTTCTCTTCCATTTTAATCAATCCCTCCGATGTTTTTCGGGACCGAATTTATGCCTATATTTATCCTTTATCAATCGTCCTACTGTCGTGCATGTCCAAAAGTAAAGCAATGTCGAGAGTTCCGCCAACTCGTTGTTCATTGATAAACAAAACTTTGTCGTTATCATCTTGTGCTAGATGCAATAAAAGATAGTTTTTTTTTTTTTTTTTTTCCTTTTTGCGAATCAGGGTAGTGCTGAGAGTCTATAACGACTCCGATCCACCGCTAGTAAATTGTTCTCTTTGGGCTTTCATCTGTTAGGGGAAGGTAATCCACCCCCTTCGGGGTCCAGTGTCCTCGCTGGCACTCTTTCCTTCCTCCAATCGATGTAGGATTGCCCCCAAATCCACCTCCCTTTGGGGCCAGTGTCCTTACTAGCACACCGCCTTGTGTCTACCCCCATTCGGGGAAGAGCGAGAAGATTGACACATCATTTAGATGTCTGGCTCTGATACCATTTGTAACGGCTCAGATTCACTGCTAGCAGATATTGTCATTTTTGGGCTTTCCCTCAAGGCTTTAAAATGCGTTTGACATGAGAAGGTTTCCGCACCCCTAATAAATGTGGGATATCACGGAGTCCAAAGGAATGGAGCTCATTTTATTTCCAGGATAAAGCAGTGCATAAAAAATGGCTAACCGGTCAACATTTTTATTAATATATATATATATATATATATATATATATATAAATAATGCGTTTGACATGGGAAGGTTTCCGCACCCTTTATAAATGTGGGATATTGCGGAGTCCAAAGGAATAGAGCTCATTTTATTTCCAGGATAAATCAGTGCATAAAAAATGGCTAACCGGTCAACATTTTTATTAATATATATATAAAAATAAAGTTATTAATAAACAAGTGTAATTTTTCCATAAAAAAAAGAAAAGAAAACCAAGAATAAAATCATGAAATGAAAGTATATTGATCTAAGAAGTTGACATCATTTTGGTTAAAAAGCATTATTTTGTAATTAATTACTTTTGCGGTGTTAAGTAAACCATTATTTTTATTAGTAATGGTATGATATCTAAATTCAACGAAAAATTTACGGGAACAGTTCATTTGAATCTCTCTGATAATATTTTGTCGCATCCTTCGATTCAATTACCGCCATCAATCTTTATAAATCTCCAAACATTTCTCACCATTTTCTGCCGTAGTCCTCCCCAAATCCCCAAACTCAAGAGACGACAAAAATGGCCGATACCTACTCCAAGATCGAAGCCGCCTGCAAATTGAAATCAAGATCTGTAGATTACTCCGATCTTTCATCGCTCCCTCACTCTCTTAGATTCGCCGCTGCCGACTCCAATCCGAACTCTCGCGATTCCGATCAAAACAGGACGAATCGGTCGCGGGAGCCGCCGCATGGTTGCTTGCCAGAGGAGGAAGAAGACGAATACCGCAGCGCTGCAACCGCTACTGCCTCTACGCTGAGACGGAACTGCTCTGTTTCTGCATCGGCCTCCGGATTCCACTCGGCAGTGAAGAGAGCTCTGTCGATGCGACGATCTTCGTCTGTGGCGGAGCGGTACAGTAGGATTCACGATCAGTTCGGGACGCTTGCATCGCCGATTGACGACGATGAAATCGAAGGCGAAGAATCGAAGGAAGGCCGAAATGCAGGAGGATCTGTAAGGAAGAAGAAGACGAACGCGGCTGGGAAGATCGTTAGAGCTTGTAAGCGACTTTTTGGACTGTAGTTTTGAAATTGATGAGCATTTTATAATTAACGAATCCGTAAAGTATCTTTTGATATTTTGTTCTTTTTGTGATGAGAAATGAGAATGTGTGTACGTTGATTGATTGTCTTCGGGCTTGGAGTTGGTTGTGGTTCGTCGATTCAAGGAGAGTAATGGCGGAAGTTTGATCATACACGTCCCTCTTGTTCTGTATTTTTTTTTCTTGATTTGCAGAGTTTGATGCGCGTTGTCAGTCGGTCTGCGAATCACTGCCATCACTACTTTTTTGACAAAATTTTCTCTCTCTACAAATCCAATTCTCTCTCTAGAAAATTATTTTATTATTGAAGAATTACTATTTGTCAAATATATGAATTATTCATATTTTAGTTTCTTTCGGCTAAATTAATAAAAACTTTACCCTCTAATACTCTTAAATTTATAAAAAAAATTAAGAGTATTTTAAACTTTTTTTTTAATTCATATTTAATTTTTTTTAAGTATTTTAAAATTTTTTTAGAAATGATCTATTAAGTATAGATAGTCAGTTTTCTTCCACGGGTAAGTATTTAAAAAAAAAAAAAATTCATAGTTCAATTTATATTAACTTTAAATAATTGACTTTTTTTTTTTTTTTTTTTTTTTTATGTCAAATGTTCATCATTTAATGTATATATTTGGTGGAATATATGTTGTTTTTTCTTTTTTACAACTTCTCTCTCCTACATTGTGTGGTCTCTCAAATAATGCCCACAAATAAAGGCATATCAAGTTTCCATTTTTAGATTTTTATTAAATAATATATCTTTCACTTGTCACCAAAATTTTGAAACATAAAAATGTTAAAATAGTGTATTGGTCTATGTCTTTGACTTCCTAATTTTAATTTATATATTTTTTAATAGATCTATTAAACTTTAACGATGATTTTATTGCTAAATTTATTTATTAAAAAATATTTTTCAATTAGCTTTTATCTCAATAAATTTTGAATGAGGTTATTATTATTATTTAATTAGTTGAGTCAAATTTATTCCAATGAAAGCAAGATGTAATGAAGTTAAAAATATAATTCTAACAAATTTTAAATTACGTGTAAATAAATGTATGGAGCAAAAAATGTTATCTATTGTCCCACTTTTAAAAATATTAAAAGTTTTTTTTATATGTTTATTAAAACTAATATTTTCACATTAATAAATTTATAGAAATATTAAAAACACAAATTTTCTATATTTGTAACTATTTTAAATTGATCCATAGATAATTTAATAATTTTGTGTAATAAATGGGGAACCAAAATTTAAAGTCAGAAATTGAAAAGAGAAAGGGTTTAAACAAACTCTCTTGTCTTAGCCAAAAATATATTTATATATATTATTAATATTTATGGAATCCATAATTCAAACTTATGACTTTTTTAACTGAAAATACATATAAAATTGGCAATGAAGTAAAGCAAAAAAAAAAAAAAAAAAAAAAAAAAAAA